TACATTTTTTTTTCTGTGCTCTATCTTTGTAGCTATCTCTGAGACAGGTGTCTAAACTGGCAGCCTTATCTCCTTCCTAGAACCTTTTTTTCGGTCTTGCATAGCAACAAGCTGTTGTTGAGTTTCAGGATTTCTTTCTTGCCTAAGATAATCTCTTCTTTTCAACTTTAACCATGACATTGTTCTTCTGTCCTTTTGTTGGCTATGTTTCATCAACAGAAATTTCCCTTAATTGTCTGCATGTGCTTAGACTGTGCAAATCTGCTGCTCATCCACTACTCAACAATGATTTCCTTCTTGTCATTCCTTATGTGCCCCAGCTTCTCATTCCAACATTTCTAGGTGAGTCAGATAGACCATCGTTCAGGATTAAAGTCTCAAAGGTAGGGTTCCCACCTTCCCAGTTAGGGGTCACTCTACTAGATCTGTACCTGTTCTCTAATGTCTACCAGATTTGCCTTGTGGAAGCATTGTATTTTCACAGCGGCACCCACCGCTGTCAGAATGCATTGATCAGTGGCTGCAACTGTCCTCATCTAAAGAGAGTAAGCTTGAATTGCTGCCCCTATTCATAGAAAGGCTAGAGGGTGGGATATTACATTGAACATAATACTGATTTACAAGGAGAGACACAAAAAACACCTCCCTTCAGATCAATAAAACGCAACAGTCTGTATACTTCCAAGAGTTTGTTAAAAGAGCCTTTTGACCATTGTATTAGTGAGAATTAATGTATCATGGGATGCCCTGTCACATGTCAGTGCGATGAGTGAATGAATGTAGCCTTTTATACAAAAATGAATTTTATACAAGAATTTTTTACCCAAGCCTTGAGATATGTCTGTCACGTTACTGTAATGTAAAGGCTATATCTATTATCTTTTTTTTTTTTTTTCTTTTTAACAAACGTTATACTTTCCTGCTCTGTGTAATGATATTGCACAGAGAGGCCCAAACCTCCTCTTCTGGGGTTCCCCACCAGTGCTCTCAGCTCCTCTCTTCTCTTTGTGCACCCTCATAAGAAGTCGTTTCCTATGGTGGCGCACCTGTGGTGGTTTGCTTCCCTCCTCACAGCTTTTGATTGACAACAGCAGGAGCCGATGTATCTGAGCCTTTGAGAGAGAGAACCAGTGCTGCTGCAAATGTTCATAGCGCTGGATCAATACTGTATGAGGCTGGTTTACTAACTTACTACTTGTTCTCTTTAAGACTGGCTACAAATCTCTTGCTGCTCCTTTTATGCTCCTATATTGCACATGTGATCATATTAAATAGTTCATGTAGTGCTAAATGTGACGTTTGTGCTGCTTTAAGAACTTGGTTCACATGATAGCACTTATGAAAGAACTTCAGGGGAACTGGCTCTCAGATGAGGATTAGGCTACTTTCTGTTGTCACATTTTAATGTTTTTTTTGTTCCTTCCAGTGGGTTTGTAGACCGGCAAAAGCTGAATCAACAGAGCACACAAAGCAGGGTTGTAGTATGGTATAATTATTGTAACAGCACAAGGACAAATAGCTAAAATGAGACATCACATGAATAAGTTACAAATGAAGCGGCTGCTCAAGATCTGATGTAGTGGTGTGATGTTAGCGCACAGACTCCACCTTGCACATTTCATCCATGAGGATGTCCTTGAGGGGCATCCAACGCTGACATTCCACCTCGTTTTTGTATAAACATACGTTCCTCCTATGAAGGAGGGGGGCTATGACATTTCACCATGTCTTTCTAGACAATATACACCTCCTACGCTGATAGGAGGCGTATATGGTCTACAAAGACATGGTGGGGTTTATTTACTAAAGCTGGAGAGTCCAAAATCAGACTCCCTTCTGCATAGAAACCAATCAGCTTCCAGGTTTCATTGCCAAAGCTTCATTGAACAAGCTGAGGTTAGAAGCTGATTGGTTTCTATGCAGAAGGGAGTCTGATTTTGGACTCTCCAGCTTTAGTAAATAAACCCCGGTGTGTCATAGCCTCCCCGTGGATAGGAGAAGCATGTTTGTCTACAAGGCCCGTGAGGGTCACTGGGTGCGATGTGGTTGTGCATTGAAAGTTTTGCTCTCAATTGAAGAAGGTGTGCGGCACTATATTTTTTTTGCACTTGGACGCATGACACCTTGGAGACTTCCTTTTTAACTTTTTTGCACTTGTCACATGGATGTATGAGTCGAGTATGATTGTCATTTTCACTGATGTACATATAAATGAAAAACCAACATAAAGTGAAAAAAACGTACATTTGTTTTGACGATTAGGGCATTGCAAACATACGAGTCAGTGGATTTCTCAGGGTTTGTACACCGTATCTACCCTTGTTTTTGCTGGCTGCCTGTGTTCTAACCATAGTGCTGACCGCTTATCTTTTTATTTTAGTAATCCAGCATGAAACTGCTTGGGTGCAGAAGTATCCTGTAATAAAGACCAATTACTGATGCTCTCTCTCCTCATGCAGGGAGACTGATCTTGTGGCAGTGAGAGGCAGTCTCATTCGCCCAGAGGAGGTTATAGAGAGAGGAGTCTCTAGAGCAGGGAAGCATGGTGGATTTTTAAGTTACAGACTAGATCTCCTCAGGGGGTTAAATGTAAGATGGGATCTAGATTTACATCTGCAGTAGATCTCTTTGCTTCCCCTTAGATCCCTTTTCTGCTGTGTAGGACTTAATGATTTACCCCTTTTTTCTAAATATAGAGGTCCATGGTTACTCTTTTCTTTCCTCTAAGACATCTGTACCTGTAAATGTATTTTTTTGTTTAGTGTTCTTGTTTCATTTGTTTTGGTTTATCATTGGTCAATGTTTTCTAGTACATTTTGTCTGGTGTGGTGGTTTGGACATAGCCTGTTGGCTGTTCATATCAGCTGTTGCATACTCTGCAATTTAAGTTAATTGGCTAATTAGTAGGCCGGACATATGTCCTCACCACCTCATATATATTTTTCATGTCATTTTATGGGTTATGACTAAGATTGTGTGGCCGAAACGCGTAAACCTACTGTACTTTTGATGTAACTTTTTGTGGTTGATGTAAAAAAGGATGATTTTAACACAGTGGTAGTAGGGCAGATCAATTTCTTCACTGTTCTTGTATCCTGTAGTTTAGTACAGGCAGCTATAGTGAGGGCAGCTTGCACAGCCTATGGCAGCAGTTATGATGTTACCACTACTTTTTATATAATAATACCTAGGTTTGCAAAGACATTTAGCATGCACAGTGGATTTACAAACATTTTTGTACTTGGAGTTCAGATTTTCATAATGGTCTCAAACATTTTACTAGTGCCAGTCCACCCACAAGTGATATTTTAGATCTTGGTTAAATCCTGTTGAGTTAAAGTGAAAAAAATACAATAAAACATTGACTGCAAGAGCATCCATGACATTGGTGTACAGAGCATTATGGGTTTTCTATATAGAATGCAAAACCTTTTTTTTTTATCAAACATCTATATTGGGCTAAAAGGAACCAATAAGACTTCCACAAAACTAGTGTAAGGTACAGAAGAGCCCAGGGGTAAGATTTGCATGGGTTCCTCCATTACTCTAAAGTGAGGCATAAACCCCTTATTTTGGGGATTTTTGAAAAGAGGTGAGGTGTGCAGGTAGCCTCTTTATTGGGGATTTTCCACCATGCTTTGAACTAGTGTCGTGGACGGTATTTTGGTCCCTTTTAGCCCACCTCACCATATCCTTTTCTGGCTACATTTTCCAAGCATAAAAGCCAAGATTTTGATTGGCTGTATCTGTGCTGTAAACTAGTTCTAGGTACACAGGTTGCCCAGGGGCATAAGAAAATTATTTTCATGGCCCACCCACTATTATAGATTAAGAAATAAAACCCTTATATTTGGGATTTGTGATGGAAAGAAGACATGCAGATTCCATAGTTTTTTTTATAAAGATTTTAATTTACATTAAAACCCCAAGGCCTGTTTTCTAATGTTTGTTGGTACTTAAAGTGATCCTGAAAAGAGAAGTGTTGATTGCCATAGTTCATTCCCATAAATTATATCATGGCACGGTATATATTTTTTTAATCCTCGAAGTATCTTTTTCCTGCAGCATTGTTGTGTGGTCACATGACCTTTCCGTATTTCCTTTGCTATCTGCAGAGAAAGATCTTTAGGAGGGGCTTCTATTATTACAGTATGAGTCTGTCTGTACAGCCCTGATTTATTCTGTACCATTCACATGACAAAAAAAAAAAACTGTTACAAACAACGATTCAAATTAAATGATAAATATCAAAAAACTTTACAGCTCCCTATAAATCATTATTTCGTTCTCTTTTTTTTTTTTTTTGGCATTAAAATGGTGTAGGCGAAGTCAAATATAACTGACACTAGCGTTCATTTTGTTCAGATGGCATCTGCATTCTAGGCTCTTTTTGACTATTCAAATTTTAGCAACTACATTTGATATATTTAATACTGATTAATGTTAAAACAAAGCTTTTTGGGGAGTTTCTTAGTAAATTATTATTATTATTATTATACAGTATTTATAAAGCGCCAATGGTTCGCTCAGCGCATGTAATCAATCTGCATACTATCCCATTCCCATAGTGTTTAGCAATAGGACATGAAGGAGGGGGAGAGGGAGTGTGATTTACCGGGGTGTACACCCACATATGTGACTCTATAGTCATGTAGACTGCACATATAAGAAAAAGGAGGAAATGTAGATCTTAGAAGGGATCTGAAATTAGAGCATGCTCAGTAGAGGACACCAGCAGGGCTACATAATCTCAGCCTAGAGTGGGGACAAAGAGAGATGGGAGAGACCGCTCAAAGCAGGATCAACCAGGTATATTTCACTCTACACAAAATGAATGCTTTAGTGGCTTTGTGAGTATGCACACTGTTATATAGCATGTAATGAGCGGTGTACATTCAGTCTGGGTTTAGTGACACTTTAATGTATATTTGAGTGTTTGTGCTGATTCTTTGCCCATTTATTAATATGATTGCTAATACATTTTGTGTGCACTATTGTAGGTTATTCTGTTAGTATGGGAGCAGTTTCAAGATACCAACCACCACAGTTACCATGCTCATCAGAGTCTAGCAGGTTTACTTCTCATTGCAATGAAGGTTTGCCTGGCTATATCGCTGGCATTTGGTTTGTACCACATTATCACTGTAGAGAGAAGCACCATGAAGCGACAGTTCTACATTACATTTGCTAAGGTATGCAATGTGTTATCAATATGCCATGTTAATGTATTTTTTTGTCATGTTATTTCTCAGTGCCTAAAAAATGGTATCTGAATATTTGTTGCTGATGGTGTTTCCAAATCTGACATGTTGGTGTACATTTATTACGACTTGGTCTCCATGTGATAGTAATAAAATAAAGCTAAGATATGTTTAAAAATAACATTTAATAAAAATGCATGTAATTTAAATGTATTAATTACTGAAAATCTGTCTAGATAAACATTAGCACATACTGCGTATCATGTGTCATAAATAAAATGAAACTACCAACATTTTATTCTACAGCAGTGGTCTCCAAACTGCGGCCCGAGGGCCGGATGTGGCCCTTTGCCTGCCTTTATCTGGCCCTTGTGGCACTATCCCTTCTACAGACACAAATGATGCTGCACCATTTCTTCCACTGACACCTATGATGGGGTGCTATTCCCCTCACTGATACCAACAATCAGGCACTAGTCCTCCCAATAAAACCAATGATAGGACATTGTTTGCTCTGACTGATGTTGGGGCATTTGCTACTGCCCAAAGTCGCCCCCCCTCCCCCATCCCAAATTCTGAAGTAAACAGGCCCTTTGTTTGGAAAGTTTGGAGACCCTTGTTCTACAGGGTTCCTGCTTTCACAAAACATATGTTTTGATAGGTATTAAGTAATTGTCAGGCCTAAAATGTGCATTTTTACACCTGTGCAAAAAATGGAGGAAAAAACAAATCTTAAAGCAGAGCTCCACCCAAAAGGGGAAGTTCCGCTTTAAGCCTTTGTCCCCACTCCCCATTAAGGATTGACACCTGTGGTAGGGGGGTGGGTACCCAAATTTGACAGGTACCCGCTCCCACTTCCGCTGCAATCGCCTAGGCAATCAGAAGCGGAAGTTGTCCTCCCTCCCCATAGTCTTCTGGGACACTTGGGACCCATAAGACTACAGGGCCATTCACAAAGCGCAGCACTTCTCGTGCATATGCCGGCTGTGAAGCCACAAACTGTCATAGCCGGGTGCCCACACTGAAGATGCCTGCGCCAGGGAGAGAAGACGGCCGGTGAAACCGGAGGTGGTGAGGACACCACGGGACCAAGGGACAGGTAAGTGTCTGTATTTTAAAAGTCAGCAGCTACAGTTTTTGTAGCTGCTGACTTTTATTTATTTAATTATTTATTTTTCCCAGGTGGAACTCCGCTTTAACCACTTGCCAACCGCAGATAGCGGAATGACGGCTTCACTACAGCCGGCCAATTCTGGGTGGGCGTCATATATTGTCCTCCCAGAATGCGCTCTCCTGCGCGCCCCCGACGGTCTCCGTAATCGCTGTGTCCTACGGACACAGCTGATCACATGGTATGGTGAAAGGCCAATCACAGCGGCCTTTTACCACGCGATCAGCCGTGTCCAATGACACACTGATCACCGGAAAAAGCAATTGCCGGTTATCTGCTGCACTTTCCTCACACTGTCACAGCGTGAGGAAAGTACTGCCGAGAACCGGCAGTAGTCAGAGGAGAGATCGTCACCGATCATCAGGGCACTGATGATCAGTGCCCTGATGATCATTACCCAGCAGTGCCACCCACCTGTGCCCAGCAGTACCACCTACCCATGCAGCCCAGCAGTGCTGCCAGTCATTGCCACCCGTCAGTGCCCAGTAGTGCCGCCAGTCAGTGCCAGCTCATCAGTTCCCATAAGTGCCGCCTGTCAGTGCAACCTCATCAACGTACATCAGTAAAGGATAAAAATTACCTGTTTGCAAAATTTTATAATAAAAACAAAGAAAAACCTTCTTTTTTTTTTTTTTCAAATTTTTTGCTCTTTTTAGTTCATAGTGCAAAAAATAAAACGCCCAGCCGTGAGTAAATACCACCAAAAGAAAGCTCTATTTGTGTGAAAAAAAATTATAAAAATGTCATCTGGGTACAGTGTTGCATGACTGCGCAATTGTCATTCAAAGTGCGACAGCGCTGAAAGCTGAAAAATGGCTTGGGCAGGAGGGGGTTATAAGTGCCCGGTAGGCAAGTGGCTAAGCAGTAAAAGTTTTAATGGACAATTGATTCTATGATTTAAAGCGGAACTTCACCTAAAATGGGAAGTTCCACTTTACAGTGGTAGTAAACTAAATTTTTTTTATTTTTACCTACAGGTAAGCTTATAATGAAGCTTGCCTATAGGTAAAATGAGTATCTCCTAAACTTTCACAATTTAGGAGATATTCTAGTGAGCGGCAGCCAGTGACATCACTGACGCATGCGCTCTGAAGGAACAGCATACCCATGCCATTCCTTCAGAGCTCTGTGCCACGCACGTGACTTCTGTGCACACATGCTAGAGTGACGTCATCGCGGCTCTGCCATTTGTTGGAGCCACAGCCTGGAAGACCAGGTGAAGATGGAAACCTCTACAGGGGTGACAGCGAGCCCCTGGAGGGCTTTGTTTCAAAGTAAGACTTTCATAATGTGTTGGCATGCTAGCACATTATGCCTTTACCTTGCAGTAGGAATTTTTTTTTTTTTTCTCTAACTTTACTACCACTTTACGTCCTCCTCTTCCATATTTAGCTTGTAATTTTTTAATGGGGGGTCATCGGGTACCTTGTTTTGACATGTCCCAGAAGACTTCAGGACCATTCACAAAGGGTTGTGAAGCTGAAATCAGCATATCTGGCTGCTAGTGGTTGGGATGCTGGCACCAGGAACCTGAAGGCTAGTGAAGAACTAGCTCGGGTGAAGATGGCGCAGGTAGGTGTCCTTTTTTATTTATTTATTTTTTTCCATGGTGAACTGCTTTAAGTTGACTTTTAAGGGCACAGCCCCACCCCGATTACAGCCCACTTGATCCTATACTTACCACTCTACCTTTTTGAGTGATGTTCTCTTTGAATGTGGCCTTTGGATATGTCTAAATAGGTACTGGCAGGGATGCTTTTAGAAGAAGAAGGCCATGTGTCTCTGGGCAGGGCTACACAGTGAAGATCACTGGAACCAGAGCAAAGGTACAGTAAATACTGGATTTGGTGGGCTGCACTTAAGAGGGTGGGGCATGTCTCAGCTGACAACATGTGCAAAAGTATAGTTGTCCTTTTATTGTGGTAGGTAGCCTCAATTAACAATTAGGAGGGGGTGGAATTGTTGACCATAGCACCTTAACATGTTTTAACATTCTTTTGGGAATATTATTCAAGAATTCTGATTGGTGATTGTGTTTTTTTCCAGTTATGAATCAGCTACCTTGTTTTTTAATGGGCTGTAATGCATTAATACTAAAGAAATGTATAGCTGTCTTTATAAAAAACCTTGGTGAAGTGACTTGTCACTAGGAAATGAGCTATTTTTTATTACATGGAAGATTCTCTTCAGTCTTGCATAAGCCTTTTAGTTTTATGAAAATTTGATGACTAAAGTGTTCAAAGCAAATAATGTGAATCACTTTTTTGTGTTTCAGGGCTGTTTATTGTGGTTTCTATGCCACCCATGTTTTGCAGCCATATCATACTTGTTTAAAGAATATCAAAGAGAAAAGGTATGTTTCATAATCTAAGCTGACTCATTTAGAGGTGTTTTGTTCCATTATGCCATACACTTCTTATTCCTTTCACACCACTTTTTTAGGCTTCCACCGGTGTTCCTGAATTAATAAATCTGAATACAGTGTGGTGTCAGGCACTAGATACACATGCCTTTTTTTATAGTGTATGGTCTGGATCCAGTCATATCTGATGCAAAATAATGGATGTGAAAGATTTGTTAACAGATTAGAAAACATGATCATGTATAGGATGCTTATCAGCTGTGTGTGTGTGATCGATAGATAAATATGTAAAATCATGCTCAACTTATTAAATCTAGTTTAAGTAAGCTAAATACATAAGGCATGCAAATTCACCCAAGCAGAAATGCCGGTCCCTTGCTAGCAAGCTGCAGAAAAGGACCCTTACTCTCTGTATGGAAGCAGTGGTCTCTCAGCAGAATTCTGACATTCAACCTGTCTTAGAACTGTAGCAATCATGGACACAATTGTACCATGTCAAATAGTTGTGTGAATATCGACACATTGGAACATGTTTGGCAGCTCTTTAATAGGTATTTTATTATAAGAAAACTGTAAAAGCAAAATGCAAATCAATATAGTGGCCTTTTTTTTTGTTTTTTTTTTAATGCATGTTACATCATTTGTCAGGTTGCCATCTTGGGGAAGCACCTCGGCTAACAGCCTCACACGCTCTCCTTTCTTTCCATAGGTCATCACTGTTGGCGTGATCCTGTCTCAGTCACTCTCAATGATCATCCTATATAGACTTTTCTTGTCGCACAGCCTTTACTGGGAAGTATCCTCTCTTTCTTCAGTAACCCTTCCTCTTACTGTATCATCTGGACACAAAAGTCGCTACTACTACCCTTGATACAATGAAAGAACTGCGTAGACCTCACATTGCTTCACAGTGAATACCTGATATGCTCCAGGGCCAGGGCTGGGACAGCAAGAGATATGACCCCTCCCGCTTCTATATGCTTGGTGACAAGATCTGTTTCTACTTTTTAAAGATTTGAGACCTCAAATGTTTTTGTTTCCCCCCCATCTCTTGTTAAATCTCATTGACACAAAAGTGGCTATGCATACTTAGTCCTTTCATCCAATGATCAGATCCAAAATCTGTCTGTTCTTGAAAACTATCTAATCCCAGTGGGAGTGATTGTGGTTTCTTGTATGGGTTTGCAACATGGCAAACCCATACATAATTTTGGCTATTAAACACCTTTAGCACTTGCCATTTTTGAAAACTGTTGCTAACATGAAGAGTATGAATTATTTTTAGCACTGGGAAATAATTTCATTTATAACATTTGGGTACCACAAGTGACACTCCGAGGTCAGTTTATAAACCTTCTTGCAACTTTCACCCAGGATTCATGCATTTACCAGTTGAATCCTATTAACGTGTGAATCCTGGGGGAAAGCTGTATGAAGACATTAATCAATAAATCCCTGAGTGTTCCTTTCATTGAATGAAAGAAACCGCTGGCCTGTGGTCCTTTTTTGGGACTAGTAACAAGAAACCATTGAATAAACATAAGAGTTATGGTGTCATTTCTAAACACAGTACAACATTAGAAAGTACATGGTCCTTGTGGATTTCAAGTTGTAGATATTTTGGTGCTGTTTTATCGGCTCTTGTAATGAGCTTTGACACACGGAGCATCCTTACCACTACAGCAGACTATAAATGAAGTGCCATTTGGCTATGCATCTATTTTTATATGTGCATGTTTTATGTGTTTTTATTTATGATTTATGGCTCTGCTGTAAATGTTATGTTTGGGGGAAAATGTAAATGTAACTTCTATAGCATAAGACTTTTTATATTATTTAAAATTATGTCATTTTGTTATGCTTGGTTTTAGCAATCACACCTAAAAAAAAAATCCAAAAGTGTGTTACAAAGGAGTAGCCAGATTGTCCTATCTATCCATAACCACTGACTAAGAATAAACCTGGTTTGGAGAACAAAAGGGAATCTGTGGTTTTGTGAGAATGAAAAGGAAAAAAAATACAAATGTATACACACATGGGCAGCCTTCTGTGCATATAACATACTTATGTTCTGCTTCCAGTTTCTAGTGTGGCACAGTAAAGGCTCATGCAAATGGCCTCTAAGGGCAGTACACTGCTCACATCATCGCATTTTTGCAGCAGGTATGTCCAAGTGTTTCCAATCAGTGGATGTTCACATGCAATTGCACCTGGAGCTCTAGTCTACAACTCTTTTTATTTCTGTGCAGGTAAAACCATTAATGTGTATGAAATTGGTTGTTTGCCTGGAGTGCTACTTTAAAATATAATGTTCTTCAGTAAGCATAATCTAGTCCAGTAGTTGGATACAGATAGAAATATTAAAGTAGAACTATAACCAGGCCATAGGCATTCACATAATTACATATTTCTAACAAACACTACGGCTGCTTTCACACTGATCAGTTTTTCTTCCTTTTTTGCGTAACTAAAAAAAAAAAAAAAACATGATATTAAATCCTATGGAATGCTTCACACTGGTCAGTTTTGGGTCCACTGCAATTTTTCAAATAAGTCCTGCAAATAAGCATTTTTAGTGCGGTAAAAAAACACCAAAAATGCACCTCCTCATGAAATGAATGGAAAATGCATCAATAATGCATCCTTTGTGCATTTTTGGTGTGTTTTTTGAATTACATGTCCTTTTTTCACAAAGAACAGAGGAGTGTGAAAGTAGCCTAAAATAGTAAACCGATCACGCTGACCTCTGTATCTGCAGACACTGTAGAGCAGGGGTAGGCAGCCATAAAGAGGTGGAAATCTAACTGAACAAAATGAGAGAAGTCAAAGATCACTGGGCACAGTTTCAACCAGTGTCACCTCCTCACACTTTAAATCTCTACTTGCCGTACTACCGTGTCACAATTGCATGCATTGCACAGCAATCACGGGTTTAAATCAGGTGGTGAGGAGTCAACATATCGCCTCCTCACCACCTGTCAAACGCACTTGGATCGCTTTGCAGAGGAGCAGCAGTGCTGCACTTGTGAATGGGCCCTTAGTTGCATCCAGTAGCGGCACTGTTAGGGCTCTTTCACATGTAAAGTTAGAGGGGTGGTATAACCCTGCGATTGAGTTGAGGGTTTACTGCCCCCAATCCCTACATTTCCCCCCCTTTATCTGCTGAGGCAGCAACCAAAGGTGTACACATGCCGCAGCAAGAATTACACCCCCTGTTGGTTTTGATGGGTGCTACCGCTTGTCAATTGAGACCCATTCAAGTAAATCGAGCCACTTTGCAAGTGCCCTGCAACTGCATGCTTCTGTGGGGTTAAAGCAGGGTGGAGAGAAAGCAACACACCACTGCCTATTTAACCCCTTGTTTGCTGTACTGCAGAAAGTTGCAGGGCACTTGCAGAACGGACTCGTTAACGTGAATGGGTCATGCTTGGCAGATGCTATAGCCACCAACCTTTCACAGGGCGTAGGAGCCAGCACTATGGAGGAGAAATCAACTTATGCAGCTCTTGCTCCCTACTACAGCTCCAACTTTACAAGTAGTCCCTCTGGAATGCACTCTTGTTTGATGCTCTGGGGTGTCAGGCCAGTAAGCCCTGACCGTGATCTAATGTAAGATCATGATCTACTGGTTGCTGACCTCTGCTGTAGAGCAATTAATCTTGAAAGTTTGTAGCAGAAATCTTTCATTTTACTTTCAGGAGCATACTTTGCTGCCCCATCAGCAAACACAGTCTAACCACTAAAAGAGAAGAATGGGCTTTAGAAATTAAAAAAAAAAAAAAACATACTCCTCTAGGAGGATGCAGCATTAATCCCATGCTGCATCTGTTCCCTGTTGGCGCTGCACAGAACTGAGCGATCAAACATCAGGATCGTTCAGTTCTCCCCCTCTGCTTTGAGCAGAAAGCAGCGACTGTCAGTCACCAGCCCTTCAAGCGCTCACTGGAGTGCTAGGTTGAGAGGATGACCAGCTGCCAGTCCAGGGTTCTGAGTGGATTTCCGACCATATGGTCGAGATCTTTTCAGAGCCTAGACCGGCTCTGTGATGTCAGCCGACAGTGGGCCTGCTGCCAGACTGAAATCTGGTCATAGGAGTGCAGAACAGTCTGCACTCAGTTTGATCTTTAGGAGAAGTAGAACCAAAAAGGCTTTGGCTATGCTTCTTCTTATAATGGTTAGAGAGCAGACTTAACTTTGCCTCCTCATGTGACTCTTAAGAATTAATTGCTCCACAGCCTCTTTAGGTACTGAGGTTAGCGAGAGCTTGTTTTAAACTTTTTTTTTTTTTTTACTGCTTGTTAATAATATACAACTATTTGAAAGGCAATAGACGGATTGCAGACCTACTTAAAGGATACTTGACACTGCCTATTTTTAATTCCCAGGTCCACAGGTTACTTGGGTGCATTTAGGACTTTGTCAGACTAGCAATCCTCATACTGGTGGCAACTTGCCGGCATCAAGGATTGCTAAATGTAACTTAACTGCTTCTAAGGCAACACTGTTTGCTAACCAAAATTCTGCACAGCCTTCCTCGCCAGCAAATGAGCAGCAGGAGAGTGACACTGGGTTTGGCCAGCAAGGAAGCAGGTGAGTGAATTCTTTGTTCTCCCAGCAAGTTGCAGGCAGCGGCAGGATTGCTGCCTTCATTTCAATAACTGGTCTAAACCGCATATTAATTGTATAATTTTTCCTACAAATGCAAAGCAAGAAAGTCTTTGTTCTAGTCTTTTTTTTAATATACCATGAGCTGTTTACTATGGCTGTCAAAGTCATATTTCCTAATAGTGAATGTGTGATGGAAGTGAGAAAACTGTCAGCAAACATTTCCACAAGGCAAAAGCAGTAACCATCCTGTATCTCTAGATGTTCTCAGCATTGCAGATAACTCTGGCCCCTCCAGTCTGGAATTGTTTCAAGTCCAATGCTAATTGGCAGCAGCTTATGCAAATCAAAACTTTGACAAAAGTAACCAGAAGCGCAAAGCATAGCATGGGCACAAAAACAACCCACTGGAGACTCCAGAATGAATTATTTTGGAAAACAGTAAAACCTTACCTTTTAATTCTGACACTTCTGGGCTGCCTTTCAGTAGTTCATTTTGTTAATAGATTTTCTTATTTCATCAGCGTAAGCGTTCATAGAAAATGATAATGTGTGCCTTTTTAACCTACTCATTTCACCAACTTTCTCTATAACTGCAATGAAGCCATAGCAGCAGATTAACTTACAGAAGCACTGATAGAAACAGCTTATGCAAACAGATCTACATGGGTTCATGCCCAAGGATACCTAATCAGGATTATTTTTTAATTGAAAAACAAAAATACTTGAGGGATTTGTTATAATCCTTTGCAGTAAAATGTCCTAAATATCCTCCATTTAAGAAGTGTAGTAATGAAGCCATATAGCTTAGTATTCTTCCAGCCATGGTTGTCTTCCTCCTATTTTCTGATGGGTGTTTGCAGTTTAATTTTTTTTCATTGACCTAGAGAATTAGGCTTTGTGTGTAAGACATTTGCACCTTTATGAATATGGAAATCTCATGGCCAAATGATGATGGGAGGAGGAAATTTCTACAGAATTAAGTACAGAGGATGCCATTTCTGACTCCTTGAAAATGCTAGTTCCCCGTGTGTCCCCAACCTCAATAATTTGTATAACTGATTCAGAACAAGCTTGCGACAATGAAAGCTAAATTGAAGTCAGAATTTGGATGTGCATCTTTGTTCTTAGTCAGTAACTGAGAGTATTAAAGCCTTTTGGATCGACATGACAAGCCTGGCAACTAGTGTTTTTTGTTTTTTTTTTTTTTTTTTTTTAATTCTTTACAGAAGATTTAAGAGAAAATGACAGCCTAGATATTTGTCA